TCATCTGTCCTGGATTCCCTGTGTTTCCAGTCCCTATCTGTACCAGTGTACATCCTCTGGTCTAGCCAGATTTGTAAGGTAGAATTGGGATCATGATTGTGGGGGGTAGGAAGCATTAAAGAACTAGAGAAAGTTGTATGTTTCATCATTCTACACCACACCCTGACTGGCTCGTCTCCTCCCTGAGACCCTTCTGTCAGGCGATGTCCAGTTACTGACAGATGGACTTTGGGTCCCCACTCCGCAATCCCCCTCATTTGCAATGATATAATTTTTTTGTTCTTTGATGCCCGCTACCTGATCCCTTTGGCACCTCATGATCACACAGGCTGGTGTGCTTCTTTTTTAAATAAATTAATTAATTAATATTTTATTTTTTGGTGTGCTTCTTCTATGTGGGTTTTGTTGTTTCTCAACTAGATGGCCAATTCTTTATCTTCAAGCCTTTACAGTGCCAGACGCTTTATCTTTTGCTAGCCAGGCACCATCAACTTTCTAGGCTGTAAACCTTGATGGCAGTAAATCTTTCTTTCTTGGGTAGGTATGAACCACAAATCTTTCCATTTGCAGCTGAGCCCTTAACCGTGTGCTTATCAGTGCTCCTTGGGTTTGTATTGTGTCCTGTCCGGGTAAGGGGGCCCTGACACTTGAACGGGTCCTCAGAAGCAACTATGTGATTGTGGAAAATTTTGAAGACAGACAGACAGCGGGGCACAGGGTTCTCCTTGCCCCGTGTCAGGACTGAGAGAGAGAATGTATTTTCCAATGGGCATATATAATGGGGCTTCCAGATCTTTCATAAGGCATGCACGTCATAGAGCTAACAGACTGCATATCAATGGGTAAGCTCATAAGCAGGTAACATAATAAACCAGCAATGAGGTGAGTCAGCATGATGACCTTGTGCTAGCTGACCTTGAGCCTCACTGTGGTGGGTTGGCTATGGAGCCTGCTTGCTTTTACCTACCGACAACCTCCAGGCACAGGGACTAGCCAGACGTAGAAATGATTCATCTTCTCTGGTAACTCTTGATGACAGTTTCTTGATGGGTGGTGGTGGTGGTGTTATTGGAGGGACTGTGTCCAGTTATGAGAAGGTGTGTGAAGATTTATCTCTATTTCATAACCATGAGGGTCTTCCCCCATCAGTCAGCTTCACCACAGCGTCCTCTTAAAAGACGTGTAGGGGGACCACAGGATGGCTAACTGCCAAGGTGGCAGTTCAAACTCACTAGCTGCTCCAAGGGAGAAGGGTGAGGCTGTCTGCTCCTGTAAAGACATACAGACTTGGAAATCCCGGTGGGAAGTTCTGCTCTGTTCTCTCGGGTTTGATGATGAATCGGAATCAGCAGGATGGTAATGGGTTTGTTTTTGTTTTGAGAGGATCCCTAGAAGCCCGAGTGTCACAGTGGGTGAAGTGTCAGGCTGCTCACCCACCAACCACTCGGTGGGAGAAAGACGAGGCTGCTGCCCCTGGCGAGATGTATAGGCGCAGAAGAAACCTATAGAGGGCCTCCGTGGGTGAAAGACAGTGTAATAGCTTTGTGTGTGTGCCAGCTCGGCACCCGTAAGAAGATATGGGTGGACTTTAGTCTGTCAATCAGGCCACAACTTGAAGGCCTCCTTTGGAGGTGCCACCGAGATAAATGGCTCCTTCTCTCTGGGGGCTGGCCACCCCCCCATCCTCCCACCCCGCCCCCTGGCTGCTTCACCTTCCTGCTGTGGAGTCACTCAAGAGAGCTGCCAGAGACAGGGCCATTGCACTGGCACAACCACGCATCCTGTGATCTCCCGCATTCCACATCATTGCATGTGGCTGCGTGAGTCTGAAGAGGGATTTGTGGACCAGCGTCCGACTGACGGATTTGCTCTAGACTGGGCTGGGATGTCTTCCTGCCTTGGACTTACTTCTCGGGATAAAGCTTGGTTTTGCACCTCTATGAGTTTCACAGGATGTGATTTCTCTGGTCAACCCAGCCTCGCAGTGGTGCTGCTCAGTGGAAAGGCAGAGTCTACACGAGAAAGAGGACCTTAGCCCACACGATCCCTGTCCAGCATCAGCATTAGG